CTTCAACTACAGATTGGGAATGGAACTTTCCCTGTTGATTCAGAAGGACAAATAATCATTCCTCAAGGATGTGGAAATGTTGTAAAGTCCTCAACTGAGCTCACTAACATCGTCTGCCCAAACATTATCCACCACTACAAGGATCACAAGTGGCTGCGTGAATGCGCAATTCTGGCACTAAAGAATGAAACAGTGGCTGAAATCAACATGACTCTACTCAGACAGCTTCCAGGCAGTGAGACCTCATTCAAGTCTGTTGATACAATAATCGACCAGGACCAAGCATCCTAGTACCCTGCAGAATTCCTTAATTCTTTGGAGCCCGCTGGAATGCCTCCTCACCACCTCACTCTCAAGTTTGAAACTATAATGCTCTTAATAAATCTTGAACCACGAAGGCTCTGCAATGGCACAAGACTGGTGGTGAAGAACATGATGCCACATATACTGGAAACGACAATGCTGACAGGAAAAGCTAAAGGAGAGGACGTGTTTATACCAAGGATACCTCTCATCACCAGTGACCTACCATTTGAGTTCAAGCGACTTCAGTTCCCGGTTAAAGTGATCTTTGCCATGACCATCTACAAAAGCCAGGGACAGTCCCTAAAGATGGTTGGCCTAAACCTGGTGTTTCCTTGCTTCTCTTATGGACAGTTCTATGTTGGATGCTCCAGAGTGGGAACTGGCAACAATCTGTACATACTTGCTGCATATGGCAAAACCAAAAATGTGGTTCTACCCTAATGCACTACAGTGAAACAATGTTGTGGAGCCTCCCGGAGGATGGCATTCTACCGTGGCCTAGCAAAAGAGCCGTCTGGAGGGCGGAGTTTCTGCTAGTATATATATATATATATATATATATATATATATATATATATATATATATATATATATATTATATATATATATATATATATATATATATATATATATATATATATATATATATATATATATATATATGTAAAAGCCTGGGACTTAGGGATAGAATTCCCTTACCCGAGTAATCAGGATCTTAATAATGGAAAGTCAAGGACCATGGTTTTCTGAGGAATAACAAACAACCGTTTGAGATTGACATCTTTTTACTAAAAAAAATATAACACAAAACTCTGACACCACTCAACAAACATCAAATAACAATTACGGGAGTCAAACAATTAATGCAGTAAACAGTTAATGGAGTAAAATATTTAAGGGAAGCAAACAATTAAAGGAAGCAAACAATTAAAGGGAGGCAAACAATTAATGGGGGTCAACAATTAATAGAATCAAACAATAGAATCAAACAATGAACAGATATTTCCTACGCCAGTGACCCTGGGTAAGGTTCCAGAACACAGTGATCCACTCTCAGGGGGAAGCGTCCGTTCAACCTCACTCGAACGACAGCGGCCGATGTCTTGATACAGCAGACTAAACACCGGGGCACAGACGCTGGCGGTCGTGGCAGCAGCGGTAGTGGTTGATTTCCAGAGAATTGACAGTCGATAGGTGAATGTCTGGGAAAACAGCCCACGAGTCCAGGACCTATGATGAGATCCCAGCCAGAATTTGACGAACAGCGTCAGGTGTTAGCAGCAACTGGCAACCGAGACCATCAGAGTCTGGCGCCCGAACTTCACAGGAACTTTTGCAGGGTAGTGCCTCGACTAACTCCATCTTGGGAACGTCGTCAAGGACACGAGTAATGTGTGTCCTATAATTATATTGCCTTAACAAATTAGCTTGATGTAATTTAGGCGTCTTAGAGGAAGGGGGTGAGAATGGTCCAACAAAATCTATGGCTACCCGAGAAGATGGTTCTGCAATGGCGGGTAAGGGTTCAAGTGGAATAGGACGGACTCTACCCTTGGCGGACATACGTGAGCACTGATCACAAATCCTACAAAAAGCTCTAATATCCGCTCCCATACCTGGCCAGTAAAACTGATCAGCAACCTACCTATAAGTTTTCCTACGAGAACAGTGACTTGCTAGAGGGATCTTGTGAGCTACAGAGAGAATGTTACTACGACAAACAGCAGGGACAACAAGTAAAAACCGACCTACTTTAGCTGGTCGCATGGATGACACACAATACCTGTGTAACACACCATTCATAGAAACAAACTTGAAAACCGACCCATCTCTCACCTGATCCTCCTCCCCGGAGGTCACCTTCTCCCTTACCCGTTTCAGAATGGCACACGAGTCTTGAAGCTTGGCGAACTCCTTGGGCGTCACAGTCAGTGGCAACAAATTCGGAAGAATCAGGGGATGCGGTCGTTTCACCTTCGCCGTCCGTGTCTCTACAGCTCGGACCTTGGCTGCAGGCGTGGCGGCGTGTGAGGGTGGCAAGGCGACGTCGGCAGGTGGCGAGTCGTCGTCGTCAGCAGGTTTCATGGGGACTGGTGCTGGTGGCGTGGGGACTGGTGCTGGTGGCGAGGAGACTGGTGCTGGTGGCGAGGAGACTGGTGCTGGTGGCGAGGAGAGTTATAAAGGTTCCGGGTCGTTAGGGTCACGAACACCGGGAACATTACCAATGAGGACACTAGCAAATTGAATGGGAGCTCTTACCACATTAGACCAACCAGTGAAATAGGGGCAACGCAGGTAGCACCTAACAACAGGGAACTGGTCAACACGACCTAAATAATCGGAGACACTAACCTTCGGGCAGCTGGAGATGTCAGCGTCAGGCAGGGCTTCCTCAGAGACAATAATGCACGAGCCACGAGTGTCCCTGATGAAAGTAGATGCCCTAGACCCATTTATTGTTCCTCTGACACAATAACGGGGGCAGCTCCTGTGTTCCAAACAGAATCCGACCTTGTTGCTGGGCTAATGAGTGTCAGCAGTCTTGAAGGCGAGGGGATTCCTGGGACAGCGAGAACGAATGTGCCCTTCTTCTCCGCAGCTGTGACACCGCACGGCTGGTGAACTACTCCTGTGTACTCCTGGGGATGGTTTCTCGGAGGACGGAGGGGAAGACTTGGGGTAGGCCTTGCGAGCAGACGCCCAGTTGTCGGCAAGACGAACAGCTTCTCCAAGCGTCGCTGGCTGGTGTTCTTTGATGAAAATTCTCAAGTCTAGAGGTAGAGAAGACAAAAACTGATCTAATATCATGAAGTTAGAGAGAGACTCAAAGGTTTCTTCAACCTCTGATGCCTCTAGCCATTGTTGAAACAAACGACCCAGGTGAATCGAAAACTGCTGGCACGTTTCTCCTGCTCTAATCTTCGTTCTACGGAAATCAGCACGATAACCATCAGAAGTCTTCTTAAATCATCGCAAGAGAACTTGCTTCAACAAGAAGTAATCTCTGGTGATGTCGGCAGACAGGGACGTGTAAATCTCTACCGGCTTACCACTCAGTAGGCTACCCAACCTTACAGCATAGCTAACTGGGTCCACACCAAGCAGCTCAGCTACCCGTTCAAACCTTACAAGATAGGAAGCGATGTCTTCTCCTTCACGGTACACAGGCAAGCTGGGTTTTACCACATTGTCTTGTATATGGCCAGAGGGTTCTGATCTACTTGAAGCATTAATCCTAGCTAGTTCTAGGTCCTTTTCTATCTGCAACTTAGCTAATTCGAACTCTCTTTCTCTATCTCTATCTCTCTGACGTTCCTCCAACTCTCTCTTTTTTCTGAAGATCCTATCTCGCTTTCTGACGTTCCTCTCTCTCGGCATTCTGTTGGGTGACCACATACTGACTAAGCTCAGTACCTGTGAGACCCAGGGCCACCGCTTGACCTTTCAACTACTCAAATTTATACATAATGATCCGAAAGGCCAAGAGCAAAAAGAAAAAAATACACAACTTACCCCACAAATAGCCAAAGGTAACTCACCTAGTGGCTCAATCAGACCAATAAATGATTTGATCCGACTGGAGGGAACCTTGTTCTGCACCCAGCCCAGTTGAATCACTCTCAGGGTAAAGAAACTGCACCAGGTGAAACAACAACAAAAATGCTATGACAGCATCCACAGTGCACCCCAACCAACACTGATTAACTTCCCCAAGTACAAGGGAGAGCAACAAAATTGGCACACTGAAGGAAGGGATAATCACTGAACAACACTTACTTCCGGGCCACAGACAGCAATGAGGCGCGCTCACGGTGACTTAAAACAACACCGGAACGAATGTTAGCCCTCAGAAACCAAAGGTCAGAGGCAATCCTGGCAAGGTCGCCACTTGTAAAGGCCTGGGACTTAGGGTTAGAAACCTCTTACCCGAGTAATCAGGATCTTAATAAAGGAAAGTCAAGGACCATGGTTTTCTGAGGAATAACAAACAACCGTTTGAGATTGACATCTCTTTACTAAAAAAAATATAACACAAAACTCTGACACCACTCAACAAACATCAAGTAACAATTACGGGAGTCAAACAATTAATGCAGTAAACAGTTAACGGAGTCAAATAATTAAGGGAAGCAAACAATTAATGGGAGTAAGCAATTAATAGAATCAAACAATGAACAGATATTTCCTACGACAGTGGCCCTGGGTAAGGTTCCAGAACACAGTGATCCACTCTCAGGGGGAAGCGTCCGTTCAACCTCACTCGAGCGACAGCGGCCGATGTCTTGATACAGCAGACTAAACACCAGGGCACAGACGGTGGACAGGAGCTGGCGGTCGTGGCAGCAGCGGTAGTGGTTGATGTCCAGAGAATTGACAGTCGATAGGTGAATGTCTGGGAAAACAGCCCACGAGTCCAGGACCTATGATGAGATCATAGCCAGAATTTGACGAACAGCGGGGGTTGCTAGATAGTGACTGTAAGGCGGCTGGGGTTCTCACCTCTGTCCAACCCCCCCACGTGTTGGTCGCACCAGCGAACGAGAGAGTTAGCAGCGGTAACGAGCAGGAAGATCGTTTCCGCCCTTACACTATATGTATATATATAAATATATATTTATATATATATATATATATATATATATATATATATATATATATATATATATATATATATATATATATATATATATATATATATATATATATATATATATACCTGTATATAAAATTTAGTTATTCCTAAAAGTACTGAAAAAATTTCCGTTTTCCCGTTTACAGAGGAACCTCCCCCGGATCTTGTTGGACCAGTAAGTTATTTCTTTTTAATGCTTTAATATTAAATACTGAAGGAGAATAAAATTTATATATCCAGAACTAGTCTGAAATACCAGTGAGTCTTAGATATCAATTTGTTCAGTTCTCTCTTAGTTTCTACAGCACTCATTAAGTGATGGACCTCCCACTCTTAGGCCCCTGTACTTTCATTTCACACCACATCACTAATACCCACCTTTTTACCCGTTTGCTCCCCCATCAGTTCCCACCAAGTCACTACCTTCTTTCAAGTCACTATTTCCCTCCAAATAACTACTTCCCTCCAATTCACTACTTCCCTTCAAGCCACTACTTCCCTTCAAGTCAACGGTTTCCTTCAGGCTGCATTGCTTCACCTCCCTTCCACCACAATGGAGCACTAACTGTTTCCGTCTCCCCCAGACCCCTCCTGAGACCGGTTACGGCGCCTCCACTACCGGTGCAGATGGCCCCTCTGGACCCCCAGGAGACCGAGGTCCCATTGGTACCCCAGGTACACCCGGTACCCCGGGTCAACCTGGACCACCAGGACAGATGCCAGACGTGAGTGTATAGCTGGGTGCAGCTGGGTTGATACACTGTGCAGCATGATATGTCTCAGTTGTGTTCTGACCTCACTAGGGGAAAGGTCACGGCAGGGTTAGCTCCAGAGGGATAATTATCAGATATGGCCAGTGATATGTGCGGTCTTGGGTATGAGAGTTTGTTGACCAAACTGGAGTGGTCCACTGAAGAATTGGCGAGGGCCAAGCTAGAAATTGAGAGGGCCACGTTGGAGAACCTGAAATTAAGGAAAGAGCTGGCGAAGTTAAAAGGAGAGGCTGGACGAGTAAAGCCAGTGTCTGACGAAAAATCAAGCGAGTGGAAAATTGTGAGTAGTGGGAAGACAAAGCTGGTGGTGAAGAAGCACACTAAGGATACGACAACAACGACAACAACAGCTAAGTGTACCAACCCGTTCAGTCCCTTGATAGACGAATTGGACGTTAGTACAGTCAGGGGCAGGAATGACAAGGAAGGTATAAAAACTTTAATTGTTGGTGACTCACAGGTAAGGTACATGGACAGGGCCTTTTGTGGTAAAAACAAAAATAGGATGAGGGTGTGTTTGCCAGGAGCTGGGGTGGGGGATATAGTTGACAGGATGGACAATATCTTGTCTGGTAATGGGAACAAACCCATTATCTGCCTCAGTGCAGGAGGCAATGATATTGGCCGGTGTAGGAGCGAGGAACTTCTTGATAAGCTCAAGGCAGCCATAGATCGTATTAGGACTAAGGGAGGGATCCCTATCATATGCTGTGTCCTGCCTAGAAGGAGAGTTGGCAGTGAATGGTTGTCAAGGGCAGTTGGTGTTAACGACCGTCTTGACAGATATTGCAAGTCAATATCAGTCCCATTCATTGACAACTGGGACAACTTCTATGGCAGAAGGGACCTTTATGCTAGGGATGGGGTGCACCTGTCTAGGGATGGAGTAGCAACCCTGGCTGGGGCTCTAGAGGGGGCAGTTCAAAGATATCGAAGTCTTTAAACTGCTAAGAGAACATATGGGCACAGGGGTGGAGGAGACTGCAGTGGGAGAGGGTAAACAAGGCGAAAGATTACAGGGAAATAGTGTTAGGAATGATGACAAAACTAAATTAGACAGGGAGTCTAAAACTAAACGCGATAAGGGGAGGACTCAGAACACGACTAACTTAAATGTATACTACGCGAACAGTAGAAGTATGAGAAACAAAATGGATGATATTAGGGCCTTGGTATGTACCAAAGAAATCGATATAATTGCATTCACTGAAACATGGATCAACGACACACGTGAATTACCAGTCGAATACCAAATTGGTGGGTTGCAAACTGTTCCATAACGATAGGCATCAGGAAAGGAGGCGGAGTAGCAACTATGTTAGATAACGGAAGTGTGAAATAAATAAGGAAATAAAAACTGAGAGGAATACAGAAACAATTTGATAGAATTAAGCGACGGTCGGGAAAAAATTAATCACAGGAGTAATATTATACAGACCCCGCAATCTTGATAGCGTCAATGAGCGACTTATCTGGGATGAAATGCGCAGGGCTTCCATACACAACAAAGTCTGTATAGTAGGCGACTTTAACCTTGGCCAAATAGATTGAACTGACCTTACGGGCAACTCAGAATCAGAGGATTTTCTCGAGACGATCCAGGACTGTTTCCTAAGTCAACATATAACCGAACCCACACTGGGTAATAATATACTGGATTTAGTTCTGTCGAACAGAGAAAACCTCATTAGCAATGTCGAGGTAGGGAACGAACTTGCAAACAGTGATCACAAAGAAATTCGATTCCAGTTAGATTTTCAGGGCAGACGTAAGGAAAATTCCACTAAAGTACCAGATTTCAGAAGGGCAAACTTTGACAGTTTAAAGAGGCAGCTGAGAGAGGGGGTGTCGCTCTTGGCCGTGAACCTGACAGATGACACCGACCTGATAACGAGATCTGAGATTGCTGAGTTCCACGACAATTTAAATAGTGAGTTACTTAATGCACAAAGGCAGAACATACCATACAAAAAACTCAGATCAGAATAACAATGACCCTAAATGGATAAATAATTATTTAAAGAACATCACACAAAGGAAGGCTATAGGTAGAAGGATAAATCGTGGCGAAATTCACCTCCGGACTATTATAGGGTATTAAGGAGTAGGGTTAAAACCGAGATAAGGAAAGCAAAGAGAAATAATGAGGTAAGGATAGCAAGGAGGCGAAGACAAACCCCAAAGGATTCTACCAAAATGTATCAAACTAAAACACGAGAAAAGATTGGACCAATACAGTCTGACTCGCGGCTCACTCGATAACGACGGAGAAATGAGCAATAATTTGAATAAATATTTTTCAACAGTTTCACCACCGAAATTTAAAACATGAATGGAGGTACCTAATTTATTCAGAGATATTGAAGAAAAACAAATTAAGTGAGATAGTAGTGACTAGTAACGATGTTAGTAAGCAAATAGACAAACTAAAGCCTAATAAGTCACCTGGTCCCGATGAGATATTTGCCAGAGTATTAAAGGAATGTAAGGAAGAGCTTAGTATGCCCTTAGCAAAGTTGTTTAACATGTCCTTAAAAACAGGTGTAGTACCAGAATCCTGGAGGATAGCGAATGTAATACCGATTTTCAAGAAGGGGGATAGATCATTATCCTCTAACTACTGCCCAATCAGTCTAACATCAATAGTAGACAAATTACTGGAAGCAATCATTTCAAACTCTATTCGAAATCACCTGGAGAAGCACCGATTGATCAATGATTCCCAGCATGGCTTCACAAGCGGACGTTCTTGCCTAACTAATCTATTAACATTCTTTTCATCAGTTTTCGAATCGGTGGACGAGGGGCACAATTATGATGTGGTATATCTCGACTTTAGTAAAGCCTTCGACAGAGTCCCCCACGAAAGACTAATTAGAAAGGTAGAAACTCATGGCATCAAAGGTGACATCCTTAAATGGATTAGGGCGTGGTTACAGGACAGGAAACAGTGAGTGAGCATTAATGGCACTAAGTCCCATTGGAGCAACGTCACAAGTGGAGTTCCCCAAGGCTCAGTACTTGGACCATTATTATTTATTATATACATAAACGACATAGATATTGGCATAGACAGCAACGTAAGTAAATTTGCTGATGACAATAAAATAGGACATGTTATTATATCTGACGAGGACGCAAAACTACAGGAAGATCTAAACAAATTTTTCGAATGGTCTGAAATATGGCAGATGAAATTCAACGTGGACAAATGTAAAGTACTTAGTATAGGAGATGTAAACAGGGAAACCAGATACCAGATGAACAACGATGCCATAGAGAAATCCGACTGCGAGAGAGATTTAGGAGTAATGATAAGTAGGAACCTTAAGCCAAGTAAACAATGTGTTTTTGCTCGTAACAAGGCTAATAAAGTACTTGGGTTCATACAAAGGAGTGTTAGTTACAAGACTAGCGAGGCCATCCTAAAACTGTATCTTGCTCTTGTGAGACCACACCTGGATTACGCAGTTCAGTTCTGGTCACCGTATTACAGAATGGATATAGAATCCTTGGAAAGAATTTAGAGGAGAATGACAAGACTAATCCCGGGCATTAGGAACCTTGAGTATAGAGACAGGTTAAAGCTTCTTAATTTGCACTCCCTTGAGAGACGTAGAGCGAGGGGCGACCTGATAGAGGTGTATAAGTGGAAGTCAGAGCTAAACAAAGGGGACATTACAAAGGTACTCAAACTATCCAACCAGGAGCAAACTCGTAACAATGGTTTTAAATTAGACAAATTTAGATTTAGGCGCGAAATAGGTAAACACTGGTTTGGAAACAGAGTAGTGGATGAATGGAACAAGTTACTAAATATCATCATTAACTCGAATACGCTGAATAGCTTCAAACATAGGTTG